CTGTTTATAAGATTGAAACCTGCCATCAGCTGAGACTGAAGACGTCACCTGATGAAACATTTCTCCCACTGAAAACGTCCAGATGAACAGAATCAACTTTTGGTGACTGACAGAAGATAGATATAAAAACATTATTTCAAAATAAAATCTATAAACTTTAAAACCATTTCTAAACTTAATCTCCTCTGATGCAATTTGATTGGCTCAGACAGACACTTTTTACTTTTCTGTTTAATTCTGGCACCACTGAGCTTCTATAGACTTTGGTCAGCTGTTTATTGAAATTATCACTGCTGATACGATCAATAAATTTTAAAATCAAACCCTGTTCTTATTTGATCCATGTATTGATTTTATGGATGGTCATCAGAACTGATCACATTTAGAGTTTAACATATTTAGTTTCTTTGATTATTGATAACATTGATCTGCATTTGCCTTTATGATCCATAAAACATCAAATCAATTCTGCATTTTTAACTTATTTCATATATTCATGAGAAAATTACAGGATTCTTTACCATCAGTGTGTTCAGCCTTGAGATTACTGAAGCAGTCCATCCTCTGACCAGCAGGGGGCGACAATTCCTGCAAAGGAGGGTGGATTCTACATAAAGGAGAAGTGGACTATCTAATCCATAGAGGGCACTTTGTAGCTTCTTTTATACGAGCTCACGGTTTGTCCAAGTACTTAGAGTGTCTAGTTACTGTGACATCAGGCAAACCCATGAAACACTCCAAATTCACTCAGCTCCACTAAAAGTGTTAAATGTACACACGTCATGAAAAAGAGCATTTACGAGCTAAGTTAGAGGCTAGCAGAAAGTTAGCTGGCTAGCTTGTAAAGATGAAGACAACAGTCACATGTTGTGACTGAAGGACTTCTACAAACATGAAACATTCAGATGTGTACAGACTGGTAGAGCTTTGGATGTAAACACAGGTGAAAAACTAACCAGCATGTGAACTTTTTTTATTTACGAACTTTACTGCACTGTTAACCTTTGCTGTATTTTTCACAGTAAAATACCACAAAATGCCCAGTAACTTACCTGAAAACATTTCTACAGTTAATTACTGTAATTTGCTTTGCATTATGGGTATATTAAGGTTATTTACATTTACTTACTGTATTTTTTAAAATTGCGGTAGTAGTTATACCTACCGTTAACAC